CGGGACAGGCTGTGGACACTCTAAGGGAGGAGGAGGACCAGTAGAAGGCGGGAGACCAAGAACCTGCTGAAGGAGCGGAACGAAGTACGGCCGAGGCCGCGCGGCGACTCCAGACACAGAAGGGACAGCACCAGTTCCCCCAGCGGCAGCACCAGCGCCAGCAGCACCTCCAGCTCCAGTACCTCCAGCAGCACCAGTAGCACCCCCAGCAGGACCGTATCCAGGACCGACAGCAGTAGCCTCAGCGTCAACACCCTCAGCAGCTCCAGCTCCAGTCGTACCCGCAGGCCCAGCAGCTCCAGTACTCCCAGTACGAGCACCTCCGGGACCCGCGGCACCAGCACCCTCAGCAGCCGAAGAACCTCCAGCTCCAGCAGCACGCCTCCAGCGCCGGGCAAACCACTCGCGCAGCTCCTGTGGAGAGAGTGGCTCCCGCCGAGACGAAGCACCCGGAGAACCTCCAGGCTCAGCACCGCCAGACGCCACACGAGCAGGCCCAGCTCCCTCAGGCTCCGCACCCCCAGGCTCAGCACCTCCAGGCGTAGCACCCCCAGGCTCAGCACCCCCAGGCTCAGCACCCCCAGGCTCAGCACCCCCAGTAGTAGCACCCTCAGGCTCAGCACCCCCAGGCTCAGCACCCCCGGTAGTAGCACCCCCAGGCTCAGCACCCCCAGGCTCAGCACCCCCAGTAGTAGCACCCTCAGGCTCAGCACCCCCAGGCGTAGCACCCACACGCTCAGCACCCCCAGAGTCAGCACCCCCAGGCTCAGCACCCTCAGCAGCACCAGAGTCACCAGTAACCTCGACAGGCTCGACTGCGTCTACCTGGGACACACCTAAAGGGGCAGGACCCTGAGGGGGGAGGGGGTCTACCGGGGGGGGACCTGGCACAAGGAAGAGCGGTGGCGGGGGGAGGGACGGAGTGCGGTAGGGGAAGAGGCGGTAGTAGGGGACCGACTCGTCAAACGTGACGTCCTGGGAGGACAAAACACGGCGAGAGGTGGGGTGGTAGAACTGCCACCCTGGCGCGTCAGGGGGGAAGCCAAGGAAGACGCAAGGAGCAGCATGAGGGGACAGCTTGTCCGCAGACAAGTCGCGGACAAACGCCCGAGATCCCCAGACACGGAACGCAGACGCATCGCCAACCTTCCCCGTCCACAGCAAAGCTGGGGAGGTCTCCGGCATGGAGACCCTGGGGTGAAGGTTGATCTGATGCGCCGCGTACCGAACCGCAAACGGCCACAGAAAATGGGGGGCAGCCGCATGCATCATGGACGTACGGGCGACGTCCATGACCATGCCAATGCGGCGCTCAGCAATCCCATTTTGCTGTGGAGAGTCCGGAAGCGTGAAGGTCTGGCGGATGCCTCGTGCACGACAGTAGGCTCGCAGAAGGCCAGAGGAGAACTCTCCACCTCTGTCAGAGTGCAGACGCAGAACAGGAAAGTCCGAGCCGAAGCTCTGCCTGAGCTGGAGACGAGCTGCGCGGATCCAGTCGATCAACACCTCAGTGACATCACCCTTGCTGCGCAAGGGGAAGACTGTGGTGTAACGCGAGTAGTCGTCAACCACCAGCAGGAAGTAGCGCTCGTGACCCTGTCCACGGACGCGGGCCGGGCCCCACACGTCCATGTGAAGCGTCTGCAGCGGGGCCTCTGTCGGAGGAAACTGGGAGGAGTGAGGGGCAGCCCGCTGCCGCCCCTCGACACAAGGGACTCAGGTAGGGCCGGGCCCCGGAGGAAGGGGAGGGAGGGACCGGGGAAGACCAGAGATAAGGACACGGGAGGCCATGCCTCGGAGACGAAGCAGGGAGGGGTGACCAAGGCGGTGGTGCCAGAGGAGAGTCTCGTGAGACAGGAGGCGACACAAACAGGGGGCAGACTCAGGACCAGACCTGGACGCTGCAGCAAACACCTGACCCGACGCAGCTACCTGACCAGACGCAGTGACTGGAGGAGACGCAGTGGTCAGTGTGTACAGGCTCGACCCCGGCCGACGTGTAAACGTGGCCAGGTGTCGGCCTGTCCGAGCGTCTGTGCAGTGGGTCACCCGCTGACTCGCAGGAGTGAACTGGTGAACCCCCGCATCCTGTAGGTCAGCACCACTCACCAAGTTCGTAGAGAACGAGGGGAGGTAAAGACCAGACAGGGTGCCAGAGGGGGCCGCCGGACACGGGAGGACAGTGGAGAAGTGAGCAAGGACAGGACCCCCAGAGGGGTCTGCCAGAGAGACTGCAACTGGCCGGCCAAGCGGCGTGAGTGTGGTGCGGTCTCGAAAGAAGGAGCGAGAAGCCCCCGAGTCAAGGGTGAAGGTGTGGGAGGCCGAAGCCGACGCAGTACCTGAGAGAGCAGACTCACCAGCACCTGAGGGAGCAGACGCACGAGCACCTAGAGCAGCAGCCTCGCTAGCACCTAGAGCAGCAGCCTCACCAATACCTAGAGCAGTAGTCTCAATGCCCGGGTCGGGCGGAAAACACCGGTAACAGTCACCCTCATCACTAATAGTCACAGCATACATGGCAGCAAGAATAGCATCAAAGTCAAGGTCAAAGACAGCTACACCCGCCCTAGACAGCTCGCCCCAGCGGGGGATCTCAGTGGCCTCAGGGAACTGGTGACACCAAGCGTCCGTCAGGCGGCCAAAGCAGCGCTGGGTGGAGTGCGCACCCCCGCACTGCTCACCCGCGCGGTCGCCGGTGCGTAGGACGTAGGTGCACGGACCAGTACCCCCACCCCGCTGGCGTGCAGCGTACCACTCACGGAGCTGCTGAGGGGGGGGGAAGTCACGAGTGCGCTGCTGCCGCTGCTGCTGCTGCTGCTGGCGCTGACCACCACTGGAGCCGACCCTCTGCGCAGCGCCACCCCGACCAGCTCCACCTCCTCCGCCGCCGCCTCCTCCACCGCCGCCTCCTCCGCCACCTCCGCTCCCACCGCCACTGCCGCCGCCGCCTCCGCCTCCACTGCCGCCACCGACACCTCCACCCCCGCCACCACTCCCACCACCACCCCCACCCCCTCCACTACCTCCACCGCCACCTCCGCCACCCCCGCCAGCCCCTCCAGCACCCTTGCCCCCCTTGCCCTTGCCGGTGCGGCGTCTCCCGCTCGGGGCAGACGCAGCGCCGACCGACTCAAAACCAACGAGGTCGGCCGCAGCAGCAGAGGCAACAGAGGGCAAAAGGGGGGAGGGGGAACACCCCTCAAAGACGGGGGTGCGAGGGTCACCACGAGAGGCTCCTACAGCGACTATGCTCTTCTCTGCTGCTAGGAGGGCCTTCTCGAGGAGGTCAACGGTGAGAGTGGTGGGGCAAACTGAGAGGAAGTGGTCCCTGACTACGCGAAGGGAGTCAGGGAGCCGGGTGACTATGTAGTAGAGGGTGATGTACATGGGGGGGGGGGTTCTTGGCGCAGAATTCAGCAGGAAGCGCAGCGCGGTAGCGAGTGTCACTAGTGGGGAGGTGCGTAATGAGGTCAGCGACTGTGGGAAAGGCAGCAAGGTCACGGAAGAGGTACGGTAGCATGAGGCGGCTCAGTGCAGCAGCGGCAGCAACTGCAGCTCGGCGGCTTGGCGACCCGGCGGCTCGGACGGCTCAGGTGGCGCGGCGGCTCGGGCGGCTCGGGTGGATCGGGCGGCTCGGCAGTAGCTCGGCGGCGCCGGCGGCTCGGTGGTGACGGCGGGGCCGCGTGGGGACGGCGGCGGGGCCGGGTGGAGCGGCAGCGGGGCCGGGTGGAGCGGCGTCGGGGCCGGGTGGAGCGGCGTCGGGGCCGGGTGGAGCGGCGTCAGGGCCAGTAGAGGCGGCGCCGGGGCCGGGAAAGGGCAGTTCCGGGGCCGCAGGGGTAGGCGACGGGGCCAGCAGAGGCGGCGCCGAGGCAGGGAAGGGCGGCGCCGGGGCCGCAGGGGTAGGCGACGGGGCCGCTAGGGCGGCTAGGAGGGGGGGGTCGCGAGGGCGGCTTGAAGAGGCCGCGAGGGCGGCTAGAAAGGGCCGCGAGGGCGGCGTGAAAGGGCCGCGAGGGCGGCGCGACGCGAAGGAGCCGCGAGGGCGGCGGATCGGGGCCGCGAGGGCGGCGCGACGCGGCCGCTAGGGCGGCGCGACGTGAAGGGGCCGCGAGGGCGACGCGACGGGGCCGCAAGCGCGACGCGACGGGGCCGCTAAGGCGGCGCGACAGGGTCGAGAGAGGGGAGCGCGACTCGGGCAGTGTAGAGCGCGCTCCGGGCAGGAAAAAAAAAAAGGTGGTGGGCCCTAGGAACAGTTCCCACAGGGGAACCTGCTCGATACCATGAGAAACTGAACGAGAATGGATGGACTAAGGGAAAGTTGGGTACAAATGCAAACCCTAGAAAACTGTACCCCATATGTGCTACCCCACTATAGCCTACAGTAGCTATGTCATATAAATCTGACACATACCATTCCATGCACACACGCATGCACGCACACGGACAACAAGCCGAATGCAAACCGTTTGGTTGCACCAACAGGACTCCCATCCTCATAGTAGCTCGGCTGCTCCATGTAAAGGTCTCGGTCCAGCATGCCATGGAGGAACGCGTTCTTCACATCCAGCTGCATCAGGTCTAAATCGAGTGCAGTTGCGATCTCCAGAAGCACACGCGCCAGCACATAGCTTCCCACAGGGGCGTACGTCTCCTCATAGTCCACCTCTGCCATCTGCGTGAACCCCTTCACCACCAGCCTCGCCTTCTCACGCTCCACTATTCCATTCGGTCGGAACTTGGTGTTCAAAATCCAACGGTTCTTCATCACATTCACCCCTGGAGGACGTGGAACCAACTCCCACGTCCCCTGCTCAATCAAGCTCCGCATCTCCTCATCCATCGCTTCCTTCACCTTGTCGCCCTTCCAGCAGCCCAAGGCCTCCTTCACTGTCATCTTAGCTATTTCCCACTGTCTCTCAGGGTCGGCCACCACATCTGGGTCCAGTTCCATCCACTCCTCGTCATCCAAACCTGCCGGCTCAATCACTACTGCCCAAGCATATTTAACTGGCGGGACACCACAAGTGATGCGAGTGGAGCGACGCAGCGGCGGTGCAGTGATCATCCTAGAATCCAGCACACGACCACCATCTCTAATTCCCCACATCTCTTGCTCCCCTGTCTGTGGCTCCCCTGTCTGCTGCTCCCCAATCTGCTCCTCCCCTATCTGCTGCTCACCAATCGGCTGCTCCCCTGTCTGCTGCTCCCCTGTCTGCTGCTCCCCTGTCTCCTTTCCCCCACTCTGCTGCACTCCATCCATGCTGTTCTCGTCCTGCAGCTGCTTAGTCACAAGGCGCTGCCCGTCGGTGATCATCACAGACGTCGACACCACAGTCCCCCCCTCACCAACGGGCGGCGCTGTGGAAGACAAAGAGGAGGGTGGGGCAGGTGCAGGAAGGATGGAGGGTGGAAGAGGAGAGGGAATAACAGGAGGAGGAGGGGTAGCCAAGGGGGTTGAGGATGGAGGAGGCGCGGTAGGAGGAACCACACGAGGGTACACTGTAGGAGGTGGGGTGGGGATTGAGGTAGGGACATGGGCATAGCAGGAGGTGCGACCACTTCCTCCTCCTCCACCTCCTCCTCAAGAGTGCCTGAGAAGAGTGAAGGAAGGGGCTCATTGGGCATCGGACGCCCCCCATGCTCCTGCTGATGCCAAGCCTTCCATCCTGCCAAGGACATTGTCTCATAGAAAACTGCTTCCACGGTGGTGATGAGGCAGTTGGACTCCAGGTCCAGCACTTGCCAGCCCTTGCTCACTGTTGACACCCCCAAGTGCAACCCCCAGCGAGCCTTAGGCGCCAGCTTCCCCCCGCGCTGCGACTGCGGCACCATATACTGCAGCATGCAGCCCCAAACACGCACCATACTGACATCGGGTTTGCGTCGGAAGGCGAGCTCGTACGGCGTCACACCAGAGGGCAGCGAGGCGTGCTCCACGCGGTTGCGCATCCAGACGGCCTGTGACAGCACCAGGTGCCACCAGTGATGCTGCACACCCATGTGTAGCAACATCGTCCGCACTGCCTCCACAATGCTGCACATCTCCCTCTCAGCCATCCCGTTCTGCTCCTGCGTGTATGGGCATGTGAGGTCGTGGATGATCCCCTTCTCATCAAGGAAGAGCGTGAAGTCATGTCCTAGGAACTCGCCACCCCGATCAGTGCGCAGCGCCTTCACTGTGGTCTTACACTGCCGCTCTGCCATCGGGAGCCACTTCTGGAATGCCGCCAGTGCATCACTCTTCTTGGCCAAAGGGTAGGCCCAGACGTACCACGTCTTGCGATCCTTCAGCACCAAAAGGTAGCGGCTGCCGTCCTTAGCTGCTTCACGAAAAGGGCCACACAGGTCAGCATGCACCACTCCAAGCAGCTCATCCTCCTCCTCTCCCACAGAAAGAAAAGTATGACGGGTGATCTTTCCCCCAACACAAGAGACGCATGGCATGCCTGACTTGCCCCCCTTCTCCAACTCCAAGCCCGTCACTGACCCGTGAGCCGCAGTACGCTCTATGGCGTCAACACCAACGTGTGCGAGGCGCGGATGCCACGTGTCCACCTTAGATCGCACGCCCGTCGCCAAAGTGCGCAGGGCCACCGTTTCACCCTCCTGCTGCTGCGTCGAGCATGGCTGGAAGTTCGTGCAGAGGACACGTCCCTTGAACTCAGCACGACCAAGGAGCGATCCATCTGGCGCGCGCAGCAGAGTCACGTCCCCGGCATCCAGCAGCTGCACGCCACTATCACGCAGTTGCCCAGCAGAAAGAAGACTCGCCTGCACTCCAGGTACGCACAACACGTCCGGCACCAAGACACGCCTGCCCCTGTCTCCAAGGAGAGCGACTGTGCCTCGCCCCTACACCTCCTGAGGAGCGCCGTTGAAGCCGATAACATGTTTGATACCGCCGCCACTGCTCATCTCCACAAAGGCAGAGCGATCTCCCATAAGATGGTGGGAGCATCCGCTATCAAGTAGCATGACGCTCGGGTTCGCCTTTACAGCAGCTGCAACAGCCTGTAAGCCCCCCCTGGCCTCAGGCTCTAGCATGACGGGAGGAGGATGCTCTATAACGGGCTTCACCATCGCACATGATGACTGCCCGCTCCCCTTAGAGCCATCACCCCCCTTGCCACTCGCGCTGCTGCCTCCAGAACCCTCTCCACCCTTGTCTGCCTCTTTATCCGCCCGCTGCCGACAGTACTTAGCGATATGCCCCGGCTGCCCACACACGTAGCAATTCCCCTTGAACCCTCCTTTCCCCCCCTTTGACTGGCCATCCTTAGCCCTTTTCCACTTCTCCCCTCCCTCACTAACCCCACCCCCATGCTTAGGCTGCTGCTGCTGTGCCGTAGTGGGAGGGGAAGGGGATGCAGTTTGCTGAAAATAGGGCTTACCCTTCTTGGTAAGCACTTGGTTCGCCTGGGGAAGAAATTGGTCCTTCCTGTCAGAATCCCAACCACTAGACCATTGGGATAAAAGGGCTTTTTAAGTAGCGGGTCAGAGTGCGCCCATAACCCCCCAGGCGAACGCGCCTGTAACCCCCCCTAGGATCAATTGGGCATCCACAGTGCAGATCTACTGACACCCCCCCACACTGGGAGGCCCAGGACTGAGCACAGCGGCAACGGCCTACATGTGCATACACCGGGATTCGAACCCGAGACCACTCTGACACCATGTCAGAATCCCAGTCACTAGACCACTGGGATAAAGGGCTTGTTTGTGTAGTGGGTCAGAGTGCGCCCATAACCCCCCAGGCGAACGCGCCTGTAACCCCCCTAGGACCAATCGGGCATCCACAGTGCAGATCTACTGACACTGCAGATCTACTGACACTTCCGTCCCTCCTCCGCCAACGTACACTCTTCCTCGATAATGTAGCTAGCAAGGGTGTCCTCGTCCAGCTCCTTGCGCACCTGCGGCAATTTCAGCATCCTACGTAAAAGGTTGTACTGCTGCGGCAACCCCTTCACGACGTGAGTAATGTACGACGCCTGCGAGTAATCTACGCCGGCCATCCTCAGGTTCACTAGGATCTGCTGTGCACGGTTGCAATAGGACGTGGCGGACTCGTGCTCTCCCATCTCGAGATTAGTGAGCGCCTGCTCTAACTGACCTATGTACAGGTCGTCCTTCGCCATATACGTGCGCATAATAAACTGCCATGCCTGAAAGCCGGCATCTACCTTCATGCGACACGCCTTAAGGGCGATGTGTACGGTTGGGGAGCAGCATCAGGAAATCGTGGTGAATGCCAGTAGCTGCATTGCGCGAAATTGTGTGACAAGCGCAACTGCATGCGCTGGGGGAGGAGGTGTGGTACCGTCGATGAATCGCTTAAGCTGGGCGATCTCAAGCTGAGGCTCGATAGATTCAACCCACGTCGACAGGTCGTCACGTCCTTCTAATGGCCTAGGTACGACGATCTTGTCTGGAGTGAATTTGAAGAAACCATAGTTGGGGGCTATTCCCTCGTCCCTCGTCATCGATCCAATTGGGGTAACGCCCGGCATAGCCTCACTATCGTACTCCTCCGCATTCCCTCCTCCAGCAACGCTCCGCCGTCCTACATTCGCACGCTCTTGTGATGCCGCCGCTCGATGAACACGCTCCTATATACCGCCGACGCTAGCCGTACTAAACCGAGTCGGTCCTCGCAGGACCCCACGCGACATCAACCCATCAAGCTCCTCGTCATCGCTGTTTCCGCCATCGACAGCCATATCCCACGCACTAGTACCTCCCGCAGCTTGCTCAACATTCTCTACACGCGGCGAGGGATGATCGCGACGCCGACGAGTGCGTAATCCCTCCTGCATGAGCTCGTACTCGATATCACTAAGCTCACCACGAGAATGGCGGGCTACGAGATCCTCCTCTAATGCGCGAATTTTGCCGGCCTCAGCGTTCGCCTCCTCCGTACTCATCCTCTACGACATCTCTATAAGGTACCACAAATTAAAATAAATTGTCCCTTCCTCAAATCCCTCGTCTTGGGGTCACCTCACAAGGGTCCTCAGACGAGTGGTAATGAATCACCAAACGCCCTATCCTTGGGTCCGAGAGCGTAACTGGAGGGAAATTAAGAGAGGTTCAACTTAAATTAATGAGCTCCCTTCACTAACGCCGCACGCCAAGGCGAGTATGCGAACGAACGTCGACGGAAAGCTATGCGTGTTCGTTCCACGCTCACCGCACCATGAAGGAATACTATGGAGAGCGTAGCGATAGCGAGAGAGTTTCGGATATGAGAATGGTGTTGCGCCAGCAACTCAGTAGCGTTTAAGTAGCGTTCGTCTCCAATGACTTAGAGAGAATTCAAGTAGCAATTGGACTTCACAAGAAAAGTAATATGATCCATGAATACAAAAGCAAACATACATGCAAATATAGGCAAGCAAGAGTTGCACAAATGTTGCGTGGCGCTTCGGTGTAACCCAACCCCACGAAAATGGTGTGCGGGTGGGTGAACGCGCCCCGCCAAACTTCCATCCAACTCAGCAGCGAAATGTATTCCGTGCAAGCCACTCCAGCCAACACTGCAAGGAGTGGCGTGACTCTCAAAGAAGCACACCTAACTCCCAAAGACTCATGCCTCCTCACACCGAATCCACCACTTCTCCAACCATCACGGAGATCGGTGCCGAGGCATTAGGTCGTCAGTCGCCGACCTGCCAAGTCAAACGCTTCGCGAGGGCCCTTGCTGTCATAGGGCCCTCTAGCACCAACAGAGAGTGAGCGGGGGGTAGTTGGAAGCACAGACTGCGAGTCAAGTACGCGGCGGTTCCAGGCAACAGTCCACAATTGGCCGGCGGCTCCATGTGCGCTTCGAGCAACAAGACTCGGCCGAATACTTGTCCAACATTGGCCGACTCTTGCTACCGCTCGTGCTCTCGCTTATCCCTCCCCCTCCCCCTTTTCCCGGTGCACCACCCCCTCTTCCCCTCCCCCCTGTCCCCCGTTCCCCCCCCCCCCCCCCCCCCTCCCCCCTCCTCCCCACCCCCTTTACTACCCCCCTCCTTCTCCCACAACATGAAAAGATACAACTGACGTGAAATTGAGAGAAGTTTGCGTGAGGAGTTCGGGCAAGCAGGCATTTGGGATCGCACGCAAATGGATGGACGACGTCGCTCCACAACACAGCTTGCTAACTGTACTAACGAGCAGGACTTGTAGCTGGAGTCTTTGATGAGGCTCCACGTGGTGTAATGGTCTGGGTCACCAATGATTTGTTAGAGATTTATGTTTGACTCACATTATGGAACTGTACACTCTACACAAAACTCCAGTTGTGCACACACGGTTCACGTTGGGCCCTGTTCGCCAAGGGAACCGCGAGACGGGCGAATCGCGAAACCCACGAGGAAGGAACCTAAGTGGTTTGGGAACTATTACGACAGAATCAGGAAGGGGCACGAGGGGATCGCGAACCTCTCTTCCACGTTTCCTTGCTTGTCGCATGCTTTTTTTGTCGTTCAGATAACCAATCTAAAATTCGATCCCTTCTGTAAAAGTAGGTGTTCGCAAACTTAGCCGACTCCGTGAGGTTTGGACGGAATCAACAGCCTCGGCTAGATTTTTTACGTTATCAACAGCCTCGGCTGGGGGAATTCCTGATGCCGTCAAAA